ATTTTCAAAATGTTTTTTGCCCTTGTTGTCCTTTAGAAAAAAAATTCTTTGAGTTTCAATTGTCAGAGCCAGCTACCCTTAGAAGGAGAAGGCAGAGAACTAAATGAGAATAAGAATCAAGAACTATTCCCTACCACTAGACAGGGTGTGATGAATGGAACCAGTAATGAGTAAGAGCCTGGAGAGGGTTAAAACAAAGCCCCAGTGCCTGGCTTCTAAAGGACAGAGCGGTACTCAGCTTTATGAAGAGGAAAGGCACCCTTGGCTGTGGCGGAGCATCCCATCAAATCATAATATCTGGAAAGATGTTAAATGAATTGTCCGTGAGTCCGTTTGCAGTCATGTGGAACAACACAAGGTAAAGGGGAGCCCCAGGCATGGTTTGGTAAAAAGCAAATTGCTATCAGCCCAACTTCATTTGGCTCAGTGATAGAGGGACAGGCAGATGCTGGGAAGCAATAGACGTGATCTCCAGAAACTTCAGTTAGGCTCTGGGTGCGCTTACTGCCACCAGCAACATACGGAATTGGCCTTTGGATGAGTGAGTTAGGGGCAGTGGCTGGAGAGGGCAGAGTGCCCAGCTTGGGGAATGAAGAGGGGACAGAAGGCAAAGGACTCCCCACCAGGTAGAAGAGAGGTCAGTTCACCTCCATCCTGCTTCAGGGGTAGGTGGCCAGCAGACCCAGCTCTGGGAGCGCCCGGAAATTCGGGGCTGCCGCCCGTGAAGGCAGCAGGGTTTCCCTGGGCTCCACAGAGTTACTCTACTTGGCATCCTCTGCTTCCTCCCCCTCTATCCTGTTGAATTCACTGCTTCCTCTTTTCCAGGTTTTACAGCTGCTCTGGCCAAGTCAATGCTGGGAAGAGAAGTAAGAACAAAGTCAACTGCTTATTTAACTCTTTTCTAACGTAGAAGAACGTGTCTTCATTCGGTGCTGGTGGCACCTCCAGCGGCTTTTGTTGATCTTGGCAAAGCATCAACATTATTACTGCTTACTTTTCTGGACTTGCACCTAAATTAAATATTTACTATTTAATAAACATTAACCATTGATAAAGTGACCATTTGTCCAATTTGCCAACAGTCCTAGTTTATGCCTGTCGTCCCAGCAAAATTACTCATACCTCCGCTCTCAGTGATGTACGGTCCGAGTCTGGATGACATAGCATGCGCTCACCTGGCCCTGGGACCCAGGCAGGGCTTCCTTCCCCACTGGCCTCTCCTCTCCTCAGAACCACCTGCTTCTTCCAGCCCATTATTGTCAGTCATACCAGAAATCATTAATAATGTATTATTTATATCCCACTTACTTTCAAAAAGGATTAAAGTGGTATACAACGCATTCACTCAATAAATATTTACTAGAAGCCTAAAGTTCCATGAATACTACCTGAGGATATATATAGATATGCTCAAAATTGTTCAAATCAAGGTTAAAAGTGAAGGCAATGAAAAACCATACAGAGGGGGACGATTACTGAGTTAGAAACCGTGGACGAGAGAATAATTGTAACTCTTTCTATATTTGACTTTGAGCTTCCTGGTAGTAAAACCAAAAAGTAAATTACAACGTACAACATCAATCATATTGCCTAAGGAAATATAACTTTGACAAAAAAGATACTTTTTCTCCTAATACTAATTCTCACAGAATTTAACCACTCATTCATTCAATAAATATGTATTGAGTACCTACTATGCCCCAGTTAGTGTTCTAGGTGGTAGGACACAGAAGTGAACAAAACAGAGCAAACAGACAAAAATCCCTGCCCTCAGGGAGCTTACTTTCCAGTAGGATGAGACAGACAATAAGTGAAATATGTAGGGTGTCACATAGTGATAAGTGCTGTGGAGAAAAACAAAGCTGGAACAGAGATTACTAGAGAGGTCAGAGAGGGCCCTGCAGCTTTAATAGGGTGGTTAGGAAACCCCTCTCTGGAAAGGTGACATTTGAGGAGAGGCACGAAGGGGAGGAGGGAGGGATCATGTGGACATCTGGGGAAGTCTTCCAGACAGAGGCCGTGAGATGGGAGCACCTGAGACCAGTGTGGCTCCAGCAACGTGAATCAGGAGCAGACTCCAAGGACATCCAGTCAGAGACAGGAAGGGAGGGACAGAAAGTGGAGATCTTAGGTTTTTTCCTTCCAATAAGAAAGAAAGTCACGGGAGGATTTTGAGCAGAGAAGTGTCATGACCTGACATATTTCAAAGGATCATTCTGGATGCTGTGTTGAGTCTATTTGTAGGGGAACAAAGCACAGAAGTAAAGAGATCAGTTAAGAAGCTTGTGAAATTTTCCAAACAAGAGAAGTTGGTAAGAAATGACCAGATTCTGGATGTGTGGAAAAGGTAGAGGCAACAGGTCACACGTGAGGTGAGAGAAAGAGAGTGGCCCAGACGGTTCTGAAATGCTTGGCTGAGCAGTGGAGTTGTTGATTACTGAGATGACAAAGACCGAAGGAGGAGCAGATCCTGGGGGAAGATGAGGAGTTTGACGTTGGCCGTGTTAAATGGAATACACATGTTGGACACCCTAGTAGAACTGTCAAGTCAAGCAGGTGGCCTGGGTTTCTCATGAATCCTTACATAAAGGACATGGAATAGTAATGTGAACAAGCTCTCAAACAATTATTTTTGCCAAAAGTACAGAAACACTCACTTTTTTACCATTTTTATATCAATCTGCAATAAAAATCAAGGGCATACTCTTCTATCATAGCTAAGTGAAGGCATTTGTGGAAGCGGCCAAGTTAGTGTAGTAAAGGTCCTAAAAGATGCTGCCTTCGGGAATCTAACTTAGAACAAGGTAGAGCTTCCTGGAGCTGGAGGAACGGACAGTCCACACAGACCTCTGCCCGTCTCAACTATCATTTCAGATTTGCCTCGGGCAGGACTGAGCTCTCTGATTGTACTTATTCTCTGGGGTAGAAGGTTAGGTGGCAGGGTTGACATTTTGCTACAAAAAGCAAAAAAGAGACTGATAAATTCTTACCCAGATCAAGGCCCACCTCATTTTTACTTGAAGGCAGGTCACTAGGATACCTGAAAGACCTTCTAGAATTTTTCTTTAAAGGGAGCTGTGAATTTACTCAATGGGCAGATGAATCCCAAGCTGAGAATGATAAGCTGGTGCTTAGCAACAATTTGGAATTTTTCAAGTTAAGATGTTGTGTTTTCCTGGCAAAAGAATGGATCTCAGACAGTGGCTCCTACAGACAGATATAAGTTAATCCTTTCCCCATTCAAATAATAAAAGTGTCTATAATTCCTCCAGGCCATACCAGTCTGGAGAAAAAGAAATTGTGCAACTGTCAGAAATGCAGCAGAATTATCAAAAGTACCAAAAGCAACATAAATAGGGAAAACTTACATCACAGTTGAGTTTTGCGTCTGAAAGTATAAAAATCACAGCCTTGTTAAATCCCTTGAAACAAGGGACTTAGTCTAATTTATGCAAGCAATCTGTATCCCCAGAACCTCCTAGAATAATCCCAGAACATGGTAGGCATTCAATAAAACTCTGACAAAAGAATGAATCAATCAACATTAAAAAAATAATAAAAACAAAACCTATGAGCACCATCTTGTGGAAGCCCTTACCATGACACCATCCAACATGGTCACCAGGCTGAAGAACGGACACTGAAACTTCTGTGTGACAGAGTCTTAGGCGCCACGGACTATAGGGAGCAGCAGGCTAAGAAACTTGTCCTGAAGTCGTGTTTGCAAACCAGGTACACTTTTTAGTTACACTCAGGTGAGGCTGATGGAGATTATAGGGGACTACAAAAGCTCCCCCAAGCCAGCCCTTGGCACTGTCTCTGAATACAGTGGAGAGGTGTAAATCCCAGAAGTAGTGTTTGACTAGTTCCCCCAGCCAAAATTTTTGTAATAATCTAGGTTCAAATTCTTCCTTTGTGCTTTGAGACGTCCTTGGGAATCAATGATCCACAGAGCCCTTTGGACACCTGGGAGCATCCTCTGTCTCTCTGCTTCTGCTACACCCCTCCCCCACTCACTGAGGCTCCTACTGTCGCCCTCTGAAACTTGTATGGATTTGGCCTCTCTTCTATTTTTTCCAACTTTCTCTACATCAGAGGAAGGAGGGAGGGAGGCAGAGATAGTTACCTGGTCACCTTCCGTTTGCTTCTCTCCTACAGGACCACTAAGCAGAGGTGGAACCAAGAACCATAGAGGTTCTCTGTGTCACATGCCTCTCCCACTGGAGTCCCCTTTTCAGTCATTCCCACCCCCTTCCCAAGAGCCTGGCACAGCCCACCAAGAGACAATATGAAGAAAACCAGTAACATACACTCCTGGTTCACAGAGGGTACTCATAATTCTTCAGGTTTTGTGGAGACCTGGAGCTTACACAATTTGGACTCTCTTGGAGAAAAAGAGTAAAATATCATAAACACAAATCTAGGAGCAAAAGTGAATACTTATTTAGAATGTGAGAAGATCACTGGCACCTCAAAGATCCAAGTCACTTTCTTCTGAACTCTGACAACCGACTAGAAATGCTTACATACAAATGGATTGCAACCCGGCAACCTGGGCCACACTGGAACTCCCAGCAAGTCCACTCAGAGCGTCCAGAGCGTCACCTTCATTGGCTTCCTCCAACCCTTGACCCCAGATCAAGACCCCGCACCTGGATTCTGTCCCCTCAGGGCAGCTCCTTGCCTCCCCCACCTCCCAACGGTACTCCAGAGGCATACTTAAAGGGGAGGTCCTCCAGGCTGCTTAGGGGCTTTGTCCTGGGGACTAACCCTAGTGAGGCCACTCAGGGTGCCGCATGGGAATACCCCCCTTCTCCCGGCCAGCCCACCCTGCAGCCCCTGGACCTGACCGAGTTAGAGGGTCTCTGCTCCGGGAGTCACAGGCCCGGTTTCCATCTCAGTACCCACCCACCAGCTCAGCGCTGGGCCCCGGGATCGGGGGGAAAGCTGACGTGGCAAGATTCTGGAATCCGAAAAACAAAGCTATAAAATTTACATACCATTAAATAAATAATAAAATCAAATACAATTCCACCAGTCTTTGCCGCGCCTCCTCTGCCCAGGAGCCCAGGGTGGATGCGCAGCCGGGCGGGCGCCAGCAGACTCCGGGTGCTAGCGGTCTGCCCTCCACCGTCCCCAGTTCGGGGAACACCTGACGCAGGTGACCATGACGCAAATAATGAGGAAAACTTTCCGGCCAGCCACTGACGCTGGACCAGGCATTTCCGCCGGGAGGAGCGGGCGGGGAGCGGGAAGACGAGAGCAGGTCCGGAGGCCTGGAAACCCGCGCACCTTAGAAGGGCGCGGGGGAGAGAGAGGGGCGCCGTTCCCGCCGAGAGCTGAACCGCGCGCGGGCAGCCCGGGAGATCGCGCGGAGCGGCGCCGCCGTCGGCTCGGGTAAGGGCTGCGACGTTAGCCGCCGGTGCTCCGGGAGGCCCGCGCCTGCTCCTCCAGCCCCAGCCGCCGGGAGGGAGTGGGAGCTGCGTCCACGGTCTGGGGAACAAAGAAGCGTCAACACGCGCACTTCTTTGTTTCCCTCCCCTTTCTCTGCCCCTCCCTCTTTTGGCCGTTCTGTTCCCTGCTGTGACCGCGCTTCTACCCTCTGTGAAGGGTGGTGTTGGGTCCTGACACTTCTGCAAATAAAGGAGGACTGGGCCCCTTCCCCTCCAAAGAGCCCTGGCTCTGAGTTGATGGAAAAACTATGCGTGTGAATGGTAGAACGTCTTCCTTTTCAGCCTGCATAGACTAGTCAACTAAACAGGAAAAAATTTCCCATATCCCAAATTCCAGCCTTGTGCACAGACTGGCTCCTGTGACCCAAAGCAAATCACCGTTTCCCGTGTCATCTCCCTACCCCCCACCACCTTAAAATGGGAGAGAAACAGTGGTCCTAACCTTCCAGGGAGTTGGTCAGATTGGCCCATGTCTGGTGCTCCACTCTTTCTGTGCCAAGAGGCGGCTCAAGGTCATCCTCCTTGAAAGTTCAAAGCTGAATACATTTGAAATTCTATTTATAAAAAAGGCCTTAGGAAATTGTGTTTTAATGAGCGCACTGGGGTGTCCATACCGCTAAAAACTGCACTGATTGGTCTAAGGGAGGTCAACAGAACTTTGTGACTTCAGCGTTTGCCCCGTGGCATTTTTGAATGTGGATCCAGATCAGTGGGCATGGCGCCATCAAACTCACCCAAGTAGGCCATCAGGTGTTCCCCCAAGAGGGAAGGCAGCTGCCTTCAGCCAAGAATCCCCCCGCCCCACCATTAGTTAGAGAGGTGATAAACAGCTATTGAGGATCATATAGCCCCAAGAAGGCCTTGTGTTTGCGGAACACTGTAGAACACCCCTGATCCTTTCCAGAAATGAGACTTCTCCCCTTGCTCCAGACAGGGTTTCCAAACCTCTGCTGGCAGCATCCAAACTACACCCCAGGGCCCTATGGCCCACCCTATTCTCTTCATCAGCTTCAACTTTGCCGTCTGAGCCCACTTGCAACTCATCTCTTGGCTGTCCCTCCATAGCAGTAAAGAAAGTTAAGTGGATGGGGGCCTGAAGAGTCCAAGCCGAAAACTTGACGTGAGGTCGGCCCCCCTGGCCCTTTTTCCCCATGGATCATCCATTCAGTCCACAAACTTGTTGAAATCCTGCACGTGCCAGGCATTGTGCGAGGCTACCGTGGCATGGGTGAGGCAGACGTGTGAACAAAAGCCAACAGCACAGTAAGAGAAGGACGTGAGAGACCTGTGAGAAAGGACAGACCTTCTGGGAAAGCGTGCACGTCTTCGCAGAGGAGGTGACTTTGAGTTGGGTTTTAAAGAATGAACACACTTACTTTAAAATAAGAAAATTCCAAAGCAAGGCTGGGACCCCAAAAAGAAATCTTCCTCTGGAAGAGTTGGTGGAAATGTATACTGCATGCTCCAGAAAATAAAGCAGGACACTGAATATATTGGAGGACAAAACCAAGAGGAGACGGAAGCAGGGCCAGGAGGATGGCCAGGCAGGATGACTGCTCAGTAGACGGAGCCCTCAGTCCCAGCTGTGAGAGCCTTGCAGGGCCCAACCGGACTGGAGTCAGTCCGTGACTGGCCCAAGGCCTGGCCTTCTAAGTTGACTCTTAACGTTCAATAATGTAACACTATTCATAGGGACTCATTCTAAGTATATCAAGGACTGACAGGAAAAACATGAGCCCTACAGGTAGTGTTCTAAATAAGCTGGCCTGTTCTAGAACCAAATTTCTCTCCAGTCTCCTATTGGAAGAAACACACACAACTATGGACCAAAGCTTGAGGCTGCTCTTGCACCGGGAGACAGGCTGAAGCCCTCCCCTGCCGTCTCTGCTGCTGCAGCTGGGCCTGACGTGTACGATAAGTAGTAGCAAATTCCTCACCCTTCACAGTCCTCAGCCAGGAGTCCTCAACGCAGCACCTGCTGGTCTCCTCCCGGAGCTGAAGGTTTTACCTCATCTCTTCACTTCCAGGTTGTGTAGCTCAAACCCTCTTAGTCTAGAAACGTTTGCCTACGTTCTTCCTGTCCCACCAAAACCAGGAGGTGCTAGTTTTGAGTTATTCAGTTTTTCATGTTTAATCCCCTCAAACTCCAATTGTGGAGCCAGGCATCATGCCCTTTTAGACTGATACCTTCACCTTTTAGAAGGGGATGCTTAGGCAGCACACCCCAAGTCCTGAGCCTGCCTCTCAGCTCCAGATCCATGGAAGATCCCCAGGCCTCTTTTCACTGGTGGTTGTGATAAACTTCAGCTTTATCTTGGTTCACAGCTTCAAGCCAGGCTTTTGGAGCTCAGCTATATGAGTCTGGTTTGCACCCACCATGGCCATGCACTCAGTGCCCCAGGAGCTACGCCTGACCACGTTCACTGACACTCTCTCTAAGGAAATAAACTGTCAGCACTCCTCACCCGGGTCATAATCTGCTGAACTCCTGACAGCAGGTGGAGCTCATCAACCCTAACCAAATCAGTCTGTGCGACCAGCTTTCTACAGGGTTTCAGGGATTCTAGAAGCCCTGAGGAGAGATTCAGGGACAGCTCCCAGGTGGCACCTGGCGCTGGTGTAGAACCCACTATTTCCCAGGACCCTGTAGCCTCTTGGCTGTGCAGGTTTCTTTCCTTAGGAGGGGCTCTCTGCCTCAGGGGTATCCCTGTTTGAGTAAGCACATGGGTCCAATATGGGATAAGGGGACTGCCAAGGTCACCTACTCTCTGTACAAAATTCCTGACTCCTGGGAATTTGCAGACTCCAGGCACCATCCCAGGCTCTGCCACGAGAACAAATGAGCCATTCTGCCAAGACTCCTGAGGATTCCAGCCTTCCCACCAAGGACAGCCTCTAAATGACCGTGTAATTATGCTTGGAAGAACCCCACAAGCAGTCCTAACAAAAAGTTCCTTTGGTCTTGGTCTTACCAGCCTTCCCAGTGACTAATTGGGCATTTTCAGGTCGTAAATGACCCCCTCCTGTCTCATTCTGTCCCTCCCTGGTCTCTAATTGAGATCTAGAATGCTCGCTGTTTCTCCACTCCACCATGTCAAAACTTAGACTCACTAGCCTGGGCAGCTGAACTTGATTCTTTAGGGAGGTCAGGTGGGGGGTGGGGGAGCCCCGCTGGCCAGGCAGGTAGGAGAGAGGAAGAAAGGCTGTAACACTGGGCAGTAATGGCGTAGACCGCTCCATAAACAAGCTCCCCTCACCTTCATCCTCTGCACAGAATTCTCTTTCCATTTCCTTCTGATGGCTAAAGTCTGCCCCCTCCCCAGCTCTGGGACCTCCTCTGGCTAGCTTTTAACTCTGTGGGGACTGCCCATTTCCCTCATGGGCCCCACACCCCAGAAGTCAGAGGGTGGCATTTTCCTAGCTCCCTGTTTCCTCTCCTTCCAGATAATTATTCTTCCAACTCGTGTTAAAATCCTCCTCTTTCATTCATGACATAATCACACTACGCTGTATTTTAATTTATTTTTCTGTCTCCTTGCTTAAGCAAGACACTTTCTTGAGGTCTATAGGTGTACCTTATGCAACCTTGCAGCCCCAGTGCCTGACAGCGTCTGTTACATAGAAAGTCCTCCATGAATATGTGCAGTAAAAAAGAGGAAAAGAAGAAAGGAAAATGGGATAGGAAGGAAGACTTGGAAGCCTATCATTTTCAGTAGCACTTTTAAAAGGTCTGGGAACACACTGAATGATAGAATCAGATTCACAAATATTTAAGCAGCCTTGAAGGATGAGGCAAAACCAGCAAGATGAAATTTAATATGGATCCATATAAACACCTGTATCAGGTTCAAAAAATAAACTTAAGTTTGGCACATGAACACACACAAAAACAGGTAAAAACATAAAAGCTACCTTTAAACATTTGCAGCCTGCTGTGGAGCAAATCTGTTGCGTGTAACTCCAGAGAGCAGAACTGGGAGGCTGGTCAAAAGCCCAAAGGAGAAAGATTTAGTGCCAAAAGTCTGTGTAATTTGCTATTTGCTAAATACGGTGCCTGGCACATAGAAATGGTGGCTGAATAATCCCATATCTATTGCCGTGTTATTTCTTATCATTATTATTATTACCAGCATCATCGTTATTTATTATTCATAAAAGTGGTCCAACAGTCTGCCTCAAGAAGCACTGAGCTCCCCTCCCTGGAAATCCAAAGTTATCACCAGGTAGCCACCTGTCTAGGGTGTTTGTAGACCTGATTCCCAACCCCTTCCCATAATCCTGTGATTCCAAGAACAGTGCTCTGTATGTCCTGGGTAGTGAAAGCCACAGATACAATTCCTGGCTGAGCAAACCGTCTTTTATATAAAGAAGCTTTTGCACGGCCCACATTTGCTGCAGTGTGCCTCATTCAAGCAACCCCTCCGAAGCATCTCTTTGATGTTGAAAACTAAAATTGCTTTGTGTGAAAGCTCCTTTAATCTTATATAGATACAAATGCCTTGTATCTTTGGGGATATGCCAAACCGCTCTTAGTATTTCAGAATTAATCTCATTAAAGAAAGCTCTGTTTAATCCCCACTGCTGCTTGCCAGAGATATTGAATAGTCCTACACCTGTTTCTATTGCCACTGTCCTGTGCACCCTTCCTGGATTTAGTGTGGTCCAAGAAAAAACATCAGCGAGTTTGGGCTGGACAATGACATTCCCACTTTTGGTTTAGCACTGTAGTTGTAGAAATGTTCCTTTATATGTCTTTATCTCGATTTCTTAATTAAAGAAAAGGAAAAAAACAGAAGGTGTAAGAGGAGCTTGCCTGTTACAAAGAATAACAAATGGAATAATGAGTTGCTTCATTAACTATCCAACTCATTATAATTATGACAAACCAGTAATGCTAAATATTGCTTAGAAAAATGGAGTTCATATAAGGTAACCCTCTATTGTCTCTTCCCAAAGAATATAGGAAACCCTTGATTAGATCACCTGGTTTGTACAACGTATTTCATATATATATTTATATATAAATACATGTATTATATGACATATATATATATCTCAAATGAAATTACTGACTTCCTCCCTCCCAACACACTTCTGGATCTTCTCCATTCAGAGCCATCAGTGAGTGTTACAAATATGCAACCATATGAAATAATCACTCATTTATTTATTTCAACAAATATTTATTGACTGCCTACTGTGTGTCAGGCATGATTCTAGGTGGCAGGAATACGACGGCAAACAAGAGAGCAAAGTTCATGTTCTCCAGTATACAGATCAATGAATATGATACAAATAAAGAAAATAAAACGGCATGATAAGATACACAGTGATTGGAGGTGATGGGGGTAGGGGGGGTGGGGTGGGGTGGGGAAAGTTTAGATCAATTGTTTAGGGAAGGCCTCACGGGGGAGGTGACATCTGAGCTGAAACTTGAGGAGGAGGAGCCAGGCATTTGAGGATCCGGATGAAGAACTTTCTCAACAATGGGAGGGACAAATGGAAGGGCCCTGAGGTGGGAAGAGGCTGTAGCATGTGAGCAAGAGGAGGAGTGGGATTCCAGGAGGGCCAGGAAGGAAGCAGAGGCCAAGATGGGCAGGCCTTGGATGTCTTTCAAAGTACAGTGGAAACCATCGGAGGGTTTTAAGCAAGGGAGCAACATGATCTACTTTATGTGTTTAAAAGATCACCTCTGAAGAATGGCTTGTTGGAAAGCAAGAGCCAAAACAAGGAGGTTGTCGTAGAAGATGGTGCATTAGACAAGAGTGGTCACAGTGGTAGAGAGAAGACTGGATTAGGGACTTTTTTTGGAAGATGGTGTCAAGAGGACCAGCTGATTGATTAGCAGGCTTGGGAGGACGAAGAGAGAGGAATCGAGGATGACTACAAACTTCCACATCTGATCAACTGCGTGAAATTACATCCAACTTTCTCAGTTCACAGCGCCCCTAGTGTCTCAGTGAATTTTTCACAGTGACCCCTAGGCCGAAGGAAATCCATAACACTTTTCATTTATTAGTTATCCAAGTAACTTAATGTTTGTGTCACATCCTTCTGTCGCATATTTTTGTCACAACTTAATACACAGAAATTGAAAGAAAAAATAATGCTTTTATTTCATTCTTAAACAGCCATGATGACTTACTTTTAGAATGTGTGTGCCCATTGGGCATTGCTTGATTTCTCCAATCTTGGAATCAGATTGCGCATGGCAACCCTCATTTCCTGATCTGCACTGATTTTTGTGTGGTACTTGCTTTTTATCGCAACAACTGCCAAAAACCCAGCTTTGCAAAATATTCCATCATTGAAAGGAATACAGCGTAATCTAAAGATAGTAGCTCATACAACACCCAACAGATGTCAAGTATTGACGTTTTCCTCAAAAATTTAAGATCATCATGGCATTTTTGTGAGTTCTCTCTGGTGCCCAGGGGCCCTTGGTGCTCACATTGGTCAGACCATTCAGTGACAGAGGTGGGGGATGGCAGAGGAGGCATATAAGAGAGGGCTGCTTAGGTTTGATTTACATGGTGGACATTCAAGGAGAGCTCCTGACCAAGGAAGGTTAAGAAAGAAATGTGTACTACAAAAACAAATTCTACTCAATATTCTCATAGGAAAAATCTCCATTATCCCGTATTCTTAGGGAATGAGGTGTTCGCTGGCTAATTTTCTGGGTAACCAAGAGCTAATCAGAAAACGTTTTTCTTTCAGCTTTATTATTGAAAACTCTCCTGGCTTGGACTCAGTTCCCTCCCAGACATTGTAAGTACTGAGCCGTGAGCATAAATGGGCATAGGTGCTGCTGCTTTGCTCCAGGTCTTGAAGAGTGCACAGTCATGATTACAAATAATTTTTATTGTCCTCCCTGTTAGCCACACGGTGATCCCAGAAACAGCAATGTCAAAGTGGATCTCCATAAAGTAGATTTTATGTTCCTGCAGTAGCTGCTTTTTAAAGGCATTGCATCTCCCATCAAAAGCACAGCATTAGATAAATCCTAGATGTGACCAGCAAGAGGGCATCAAAAGAAATGTAAATGTAGGATTAGAGCCAGCCCAGGTAGTCTAGTGGTTAAGGTTCGGTGCTCTCACCACTTCAGCAGCCCAGGTTCGTTTCCCAGTCGTGGAACCACACCACTCATCTGTCAGTTGCTGTGCTGTGGCAGCAGCTCACATAGAAGAACTGGAAGGACTTACAACTAAGATATACAACTATGCACTGGGCCTTTGGGAAGGAAAAAAAATGCAGGATTAAAATCCCTTATCTACAAATTCTGTAATCCAAAAGTTCTAAAAACTGCAAATCTTCTCGATAAGTTCATGGCAAACTCATGTGGCCACAAAACTGACCTGCTAGAACTCAGTTGGAAGCAAAATCCAACCCAAACTGATGTGGGGCTGTTTTAAGTTTTTCTTTATCCCATTTATGGTGAAATTTTACATGTTTTGCTGCAGAAATACTAGTAAGATTCATACAGGGTGCTGCCCCAGACCCCTCTCGGGTGGTTATATATATCTATGATATGTTCACCTCAAGGCTGGTCTACATCAGGAAAAAATCTGAAGTCTACAACATAACTAAGGGTTTTGAATAAGGGATAGTTAGTCTTTAGAAACACAGGGCTGGAAGGAACCTGGAGCTCTTCTAGGTCAATCCATTAATATCATAAATGAGACAAGAAGCCTGGACACATGTGTGGGAGGAGCAGGGAACATGTTCCAAATCACATATTCAGTTTGGAGCGCAGCCAAGACAGGGCTATTTCTCCTGCCACCTGCTGCCCACAGCCCCATAAGGCAGCCCAGACATGCTCATATGTGTTGAGAACACAGATACCTCAGGACCCCGTTAGTGTCAACAGGCCACACGCAAAATGTGCTTCTACTGAGACCCTAAGCTGAGCTATCTGAAAGTGAATATGTCATCAGTTATAACAGTTATCCATAGCAATCAATAATCCTGCTCTGTTTCTGATAATTTTGAAGATTTGAGGGAAGTCAATTCCAAGTGAATCAATAGGACTCTTGAAAATTTGTCCAGTATTTTCAAATGACGATATCTTTTCATCCAAAGGAATTTCCTTTTAGCAACTAGAAACTCTAAATATTTTTTTGTGTTCTTTTAAATAATTGCCATTAGAGCTGCTAAATATTTGAAGGTATCGCTAAGAACTTGAGTTGTAAATACTAGAAAGGTGACATATCTAGCTCATCTCCTCTTCTGCAATGTGGTTTAGACTTGGAATTGGACAGACGTGGTCTGGAATCCCAAATATGGTGCTGAGGAGCTGTAAGGCCAGTTACCTAACCTCTATGCGACCTGGTTTTCTTAGTTGAAAAAAGGACAATAATATTTTACCAGATTTTTGTAAACCTTTAAATTTAAAAAATATGAAATATCTTATTCTGTTCTAGGCACACGGTAAGTGTGCAGTAATGAAAGAAACCCAACTTCCCCCTTCCTCCCTTTTCTCAACCTCTTTACCTTATTATGGAGAATGATTGTTTAATTAGAACGTGTGAGAGAGGCTGTAGGAACAGTGCCCTAAATCAGTCCCCTCCAAAGAACACCAGGGTCTCAGCCCACATAATAGTCGGTGTTGGGAAAGAACACTGAACTTGGCAGCACAAATGTGTGTCCGAATCCTAGTTTGGCCACTTATTACTTGTCCGACGTTAACCAAGTCATAGATCCCTCTAAACCTTAGTGTTGTGGTCTGTAAAATGGAAATAATAGTGTTTGCCACACAAGGCTGCCATGATGAATAAATTCAGTAGGGCACATTTACTTGTTTAGCAACTCAAAGCATTATACAAATAGTTGAAGCACAGGGAAGAAGGAGAGTAGTTCCCCAAATCTGGAAACAGGAGAACATTTTCCTGATTTAAATAAAAGGAGAGAGAAGGCAGATGTGGCATCTTATAGCCCAGTGAGTTTGATATTTGTGCTAGGCAGACTCCTAGGGCATTTCCTGTGATAGTTAGGGAGCACTTGGGAGGGGTGACAGGCAGCATGGATTCTTGGAGAGCAACTCACATGGAACTGAACCTCTCTGACCACTCCTTAGAGAAGGAGGGGAACCTTCAAGTGGACAGCAGTCTCAGGGAGCCAAAGAGGAAGGGGCTCAGAAAGTTGAGGGTGAAGGGCTTCAGAGAGTCAAGAAGGCGTAGCCTAAGAGAGCTTAGTGGGAGGGGCCTCGTGAGTCAAGGGGCAGGGCTCAGACAGCCAAGAGGGAGGAGCCTTGGGGAGCTGGGAGAGAGGGTCTCAGAAAGTAGAGGGGGAGGGCCTTCAGGGAGCCAAGGGAGAGGGGCCTCAAAGACTTGGCCCAACCAGCTGTCCAGGAAAAGAGCTGTGTTCTTCAAGGCCTTCTCATTTATTTAGCAAAAAATGTTTGTAGTAAGATCCTCTTTCTCCCCACTTTGGTTAATTTTGATGCTCAGAAGAAAACTAATTTTTTTTCCTCAAACTACTTTTTGTCACTGAGATCCTCTAGATAAAGATTATCAATGCTTCTGTTTCCCTTAAAAACTGAGCCCCATTTCCCCGTCCATAAATGGGGGATAATTATGCCAATTATGCCTCCGTCAGGGGTTGTTGTGAGGGCTAAGGGGACCCGGCACAGTGGCTGATGTGGAAATGTTAGCTCCCCTCTCCCGCATCCTCCCCTGAGTGGCGGATGGAAGAAGATGGCAGGGTCAGCTTAGCCACTGTCCTCAGCACTCTCTGGTTTGAAATATGTATCCATGGATGATTTGGATGAGGACACACACATGATAGGAAATGGCAAGCAGTCCAATATAAAATTATTGGGATGAGCTGGAGAAAATGTGAAGTCTTGGGGAAAGGAACCCACTTGCCCTTTTAGAGTGGGAGCTCTGAACACGCTAACACATTCAGTGTTCTCAGACACACCACATGGTGTTGCGGAGATGGCTACATGCTCAGCCTGGGCCTTGGGCTCTGGGTTCTGTTCTAAGCCATATGTGTTAGAGAGCTAACATACTACAGCACATCCAGAGGGCAGCCAAGATGGTGGAGAAGGACCTAGAAACCACGCCATCTACTCAGTGGTTGAAGGAACTGTGAAAGGGAGAAATCATGATTCACATGTTCATTCAATAAATATTTATTGTTACCTCTTATGTGCTGGGCACCATTCTAGGTACTTGAGCAAATAACAAAGATCCCTGCCCTCAGGGAACTTACATTCTAGTGAGAGAAATGGACAATACACATCATAATGAATAAAGTAGTTAGTATAGTAGAAAATGATAAACACTCTGGAAAAAGGCGAAAAAGAAGAGTAAGTTAAGGGAGATTGGAAGTGCCACAGTTGGGTAGGTGACAATAAATAGGATGATAGGCGCAGGCCTCACTGAGAGGTGAGGGAGTGAACCAGCCAGATACCTGGGGAACATGCCCAGAGGACAGATAGAGCAAAGCCTCAGGTGGGACAGTGCCTGTCATCTTGGCAACAGCAATGACAGCAGTGTGGCAGGAGCCAAGGGAGGGAGAGAGCAGTAGGAAGGAAGTGGGAGAGGTGATGGGGGCCAATCAGGAAGGACCTGCAGACCCTGGAAGGGCTTTGGCTTCTTATCCAAGAGATGGGAGCCATCATAGCATTTCGCACAGGGGAGTGAGGTGATGTGACTTACATTTTAAAAGCTCGCTGCCGTGTGAAGAATAGACCAGCCAGCAGGTGACTACAGTAGTCCAGGCAAGATGTGATGTTGGCTCGCACCACAGTGGGAACATGGAGGGGATGAGAAGTGGTGAGATCCTTTGAAGGAGGAGTCAGCCTGATTTCCTGGTAGATTTGATGTAGGATGAGGAGGAAAGAGAAGAGTTGGTGATGACTCCAAGGGCTTTGTCATCCGCTGAGAGGTCTGGATCTAAGTTTGGGCACGGTGAATTTGAGATGTCCTTAGACGTCTGAGCGGAGATGCTGAGAGGGCAGTCACAGAGCCGAGCCCAGCGTCCTGGACAAAGATCTGATTGCTATCTTCCAGCACTTAAAAGGCTGCCGTGTGGAAAAAGAGGGAGAACTCTTCACTGAGTTTCCCTGAGGGACAGAAAGGGCCGATGAAGGAGTGGAAGTCAAAGTGAGGAAGGCTCTCACTCAATCCAAGGACTTGTGAACCACGGCTGTCTGAAAAGTGAATGAGCAGCCTCAGAAAGGTTGTCTTGTGTTTATAAATAATAACTTCCTGAAATCATGGCTGACAGAGAACAGACTGACCCATTATCAGGGAGGTTCTGTCCCAGCAAACAAGACATCACCGTAATATTCCCTTGGGCCAGGCAGCCTCCCCAAGGAGGGGTTCCAGTCTCCTGGGGATAAGGGAGCTCACCTCTGACACTCCCTGTGGGCCATCATTTCCCTGGGGCCCAGCCACCAGGCCCAAATCTTTAAACCTGTCAACTTGGCTGCAGTCGGCACCAGGGAGCAGGGTAGTAGAAAGCAGTCTTTCTCCCTCTCCCCATGCCATGAGCAAATTAAAGCCTCAGAAGGACACACTCACACAAACACACACTGACACACACATACAAAACTCGCCTTCCGAGCTGGTTAGGAATGTGTACAATAACAACATAGCACATGTTTGTGCCCAGCATGACTTATGTGTACACATATTGCCTCATTGAATCCTCACAGGAGGTCAGTACTACTGTTCTCCCCATTTTACAGATAAGGAAATTAAGTCACTGGAGAGTTAAGAAACTCACTCAAAGTCATACAGTTCGTATGTGGCCAAGCTAGA